CACCCCCGTCCCGGCCACCCCGCTCTTCACCTACAACGGCCTCACCTCCGTGGCTGTGGCCAGCGTCAACAACTACACGGTGGTGTTCCTGGGCACTGCCAACGGAGGCCTCCTGAAGGTGAGCAGCCCGGGCGGGACGGCGGGGGGACGGAGACTCGGCTCCTTTCAGCACCGCTCGTCGGGTGGATGCTCCACTGATGCCTGCTCGGAAGGCAGCGTGAGTCCCCACACATTGCCCAGCCGTGGGGCTCCACGGCAGGGGGGCCCGTGCCACTCTCTCAAAATGTTGGAGAACGGAAGCCCCATCCGCTGTCCTCCCTTACCTCCGCGTGCTCCCACGGGAAGAACGAGAGACGCATGGAGAAGCTGCTGCTCTGAGCGTCGCCGGAGGGGCAGGTAGCGCGGGAGGTGGCAGGGCCACGGCGCCTGTTCTGAGCTGCTCCTGCCGCACGGCCGTATCTGCCCAGCTCCATTAGGGAGGCTCCTGGCTCCTTTGCTGGGATAATTTTTGCAGATAGCGCTAATCTAATTCTGCGACACAGCTGCATAACCAGAAGCCCTTTTACCTTCGGGCTCCTTGTTATTTGGCACTGGATGAAGATGCTTTGGGTGAGTTATCACTTGGATTTGCTGCCTGAGAGAAGACAGCAAAGGGGCAGGAGCGGCGTTTGAGCGGCTGCTGCCAGCAGCGATTACAGCTCCGAGCGCAGGGGAATTAATCAGAGCAGCTGCAGACGGGCGCTCGGCGAGGGCCTCGTCTCCGCATGCCCGGCAGCGTCGTTAAAGGAGACGCGGTGCTCCAGGGCACTGTGCGGAGCTGTGGGGGCAATGTCCTGTAAAGAGAGGGGTGCACGAGGGCTGGCAGGTCACGCACCCCGAGTCCTGAAGGAGCCTCTGCCCTGGGGCTCCCTGGGATCCCCCTGGTTCAGCCGTGGTCGCCAGCACACACGGGGGCCGCGTGTCGCTGCTCTCGCCCTGCCCTGCAGCCCCGTCCCGTGCACGGCTGCCGCTGCGGGCGCTGCTGGACGCGGGCACGTCACCGGCCCCGCTCACGGCAAGGGCGGGCGGCCCCGGGCCTCGCACAACGGGCTGAACCTCGACACAGACACAGCGCAAAGCATTAAAAAACAAGTGCAGAAAGGCCCGGGAGGCAAAGGGACCCAGGGGTGAATGCCTAGAAAAGTCAAGCATTAGGAAATGAATCAGCAAGAAGAAAGGAAAGATGGTCTTAAAGCTGAAATGAAAGGCTTTGGGGCTCATTTCTCAGACCTCTTAGGCAAATTACTTAGTTCCTTGATAGCTAGTTTTCGAAACGGGGTAATGCTGTTCCCTTCCTGCACGTGGCCTGCAGCAGCGCTTAGTGCAAGGGAGCCTGGTGCTTTCAGTGTGCTAGCACTCCTAATTAGCAGGACATGGGCATGCTCCTCTAACGTAGCAGTGAATTAATTCAGTATTAATTAATGCAGACTTTAGAGAGAAGAGGCATATTGGTCCTTAAAATTACTGCCTTCCTTTGCTAGACAGGAGTTAGGAATTTTCCCAACTCCCTTTCTGTGCTAAGCTGAGAAGTGACTGTCACACAGAGTCGCGCAGCTCCGTTGTTATTTCCTCCAAGCAACGCCACATTTAATTTGCTGTGTTTTCAAGTCAAATGCCAAGATGTCCTGGGATCTGGGAGGCAGCTGATTCCTCGCTGCCTCTTCCCTGGCTGCTGGCGCTTCGGCTGGTGATGTGCGCGGCAAGGTGGGCTCCGCGGCTGTCATGGTGCTCTGCAGCTAGCAGGGACACGAGCTGCTTTCAGCCAGAAATGACAGCTCGTATTTCTCAAATGTGCGGGGAGCAGGGGATGCCATCTTACACAGCCAGAGCGCCGATTTGCACTGCTTTCTTCAAGCTTTGGGAATAAAACATTCTTTGTAGCAGTATTGACTGTTTACATAAAGACCACTGCCATTTACGTTAGGGTACCAAGGGTAGCGCTTCTGTGGCCCGCTGGTGTTGCAGCAGCTCAGGAACAGCCATGCAGTCAAGCCGTGGCATGGACAGAGCCTTAGACGAACAGTTTTCCTTTCCAGGCACTCTGTTAAACAGGGGGTTTTCACCCAGAAGGACCGAGGAGGTGAGGTGTGTCCATCACTGGACAGTGCTCCTGGCCACGGCGCTGGCTCCCTGCACTGCTCAGTGACCTCCTTGCCCTGTGGCATCGGCTTCTCAGTAGAGCCCTGCGTGCCGGGCTGAAAAAGCGGTTAGGGATTTACAGGGCTTTGAACATGTCTGAAATATAGTCTCAGTGAATGGCTTCTTTTCCCTAGATTAACTTGGACAGCTCCATGAAGATCATTAGCAGGAGATCCATTTCTGTGGCCTATGGAGAACCTGTTCATCCCATCATGCAGTTTGACCCTTCTGATTCCACCTACCTCTACCTGATGACATCCTATCAGGTAAGACCTTTATCCTTCAGGAAAACAGACTTTTGAGCAAATCTAATGTTATTTAGTGTTCCGCATCAATGTGAGGATGAAGAGGAACAAGAATCGTAGAATCATAAAATCATTAAGGTTGGAAGGAACCTTTGGAGATCATCTAGTCCAACATCCCCGTACATGTGCAGGGTCACCTAGAGCATGTTACACAGGGTTGCATCCAAGTGGGTTTTGAATCTCTCCAGAGAAGGGGATTCCACAACCTCTCTTGGCAACCTGTAATATTTGTTTTAATATTAACAGGCACACCCGAGTGGTTTGATTGTGATGCCAAAGCTAGTGCCTTGGCCCAGACCCTGTGCAGTTTGTTTCACAGGTGTCTGACAAGTCACACTTGCAGGACTGCAGAAACAAGCAGAGGTTGGTCCTTCATAGCAAACCACAGACATTGTACACTGTCTTGAAGGAGACTTTTGGAAGTTCCCACAAACAAAAATCTGCCTCTAAGAAGTGGTCTTTAGGGAGGTTTTGCATAACCTAGGTAACAGGAAGCCCGGGATGGGGAGGAGGGATCGCTCTGGAGACACGTGGATGCCACGGCAGGTAGGAGCCAGTGGCCTCGTGTCTGCTAAATGAGAGTAGGAGGAAGGCGGGAGCGAAGGGCTTCAAGCTCCGGTGCTTTGTCCTGAGTCCTGTTTTAATCTACCAAAGCAGATGCACAGCACAGATGCTATGTGTTGCATTTACGTTTTCCAAGACCTGATTCCCTGCAGACGAGGTGCTGTCATGTGGCAGCCTCCCCCAGGGTGCCCCTTTAGCTGCTATTTCGAACCTCCTCTGCTTCGGACCTCCTCGCTGGCCAGATGAGATCCCGCGTGCCGCACTCACGGTGCTCTTGTCTCTTCCTATCCCAGTAGATCAGACCAGCTCATCTTTGTTTTCAATGGGGGGTTGCATTGAGGAAGCTCCCTGGGGACTGCCAGGCTTGCGAGCGGCAGCCGAGACAGCACGTGTGGAAGCTGGAGAGGACAGTGGGCAAGGAGACCTTCAGGTCGCTGAGGCCCTGGCTGAGGCGCTCTGGGCTGCTGAGGTTTTAGGGGTCTCAGCAAATTGGGTTGTCGGTCCCTAAATTATCCAACTACTTGGTTTTCCTTCCCAAATGCTTAGAAACAGAGGAGGAAAAATCAGAAACCAATGCATGTTCTCACTCTAAATGTTGTTGCAGTGCAAGTCAGCAGAGTTACTTGGATTTCCTTGTAAATTAAGGTTTCCTAAATAGTTGTGCTTTCTGGTCATTTTATAAATAGATGCTGTCAAATTCAATAACAGACACTGTCTAGAAGGGATCTTCCTCTAAGCCTGAATGAGAACTTTCACGAGGAGGGATAAGCTGTGAAAGTGTGACCCAAACCACCTCATCTGACTCATGAGCAGGGTGTCGTGTTGCTCTGCGCTCTTGCCACCGTCCCTCCAGCTCGAAGGTGCTTTGCCCTGAGGAGCGGTTTTGCTGCAGGGGGCCGTGCTGAGCTCCAAGCGAGCAGCCCTGTCTCTCGCGCTGCCCCGGTGCTGCTGGCACATCCATGTGGGTGCACGGCCTCCAGGTGGCCTACGCTTGTGCCCAGGGCACCGGGACATGCCACCACCCCTGCCTGCTCTGTGCGTGTGTGCGCATGGTGCTCGCATCCAGTGGAGGTCCAGGGTAGGGTCAGCTCTGCTCCTTGGTGCAGATCCCCTCACTCTTACTCCGGGCTAAGTGGTAAAGAAGCCTGAGGCTCTAGAGGCCCTACTGACACAGCTCTGCCTGAACCTTTCCATGGTGTCTGGAAGAGTGCTGAAGGGTGAGTGTTGTTGTCATGCAGATGACGCGGGTGAAGGTGGCTACCTGCAACCAGTACGCAACGTGCACGGAGTGCCTGGCCGCTGCTGACGCTTACTGCGGGTGGTGCACTATGGAGACCAGGTAGGACGGATAAGCCTCGGCACGGCTCGCTGTGTTCCTTGGCCCGCTGCTCCAGCTGGGAATCATGGGTGCTTTTCGTATTTCCTTGTAATCACATTGCTGTTAGGCTTGGTCTATTTTTCAACAAATGCATGCAGTGCTTTTAAAAACAGTCAAATCTGGCCTCCCTGCCGGGATGCCTTTCTGAGCCAGGGTTTGACTGTAGCCGTGTTGTTCTGCCCGCAGCTTGCAGGCACCCGACTCGGGCTGCCAGTGCCTCGGTCAGGGCCATATTTTACCGCTGCAATTGCTTAGGAGCAGGAGACAGCTGGTGTCAGAAATGAGCCTCCACATTTACAAATGGAAGGAGCAAAGCTTCAGAGCTCACTCTGCGGGTGGGGGGAGAGGTGTGAGCACAGGTTTCTCTCGTAGCAACCTCAGCACCTTTATCAGCTCCCGAGCAGGGTCGTTCTCCCTCTCGCAGGTGTTCGCTGCAGCACGAGTGTGCAAACTTCACGGAGGCCAATTTCTGGGCAAGCGCGAGCGGCGGGGTGCAGCAGTGCCCATCTATGACCATCCTGGAGCCCGAAATTAACGTTGACAAGGAGAACCCGGTACGTTTGATACAGGCAACGAATTAATAGCATGCAGCAAGCAGCTAAATCAGCTCATTTTTGTTTTTGCATTGTTAGTATTTTTAACAGTAATTTAATTACATTTATTTAAAGCTTTCATCAAAGCATTTTACCAATCAAAAATAAGATTGAATATGCAAAAATGTCTAATAAGGCCGCCCTGATTTCAGCAGTTTTCTTGGAGGCAGACCCTGCCCCATGACAAAGCGCTCAGTGCCCGCGTCCTGGCAGCGGGAGGGCCGCTCGGGGCAGTGCTGAGATCTGGCATCCACAGGGCCCCGGGTGCCGCGGGTCCCGGCTGCTTGGGCGGCCGGAGGCGTCGCTTTTCTGCCAGATCCGCTCCTCCACCCTGGGGACCGGCAGCAGGAGGAAACCACCTGCGGGCCGCTCAGTTGCGTCCTCAGCATTGCACGAGCCCTGGTGGCAGGGAGGGCTCTTCCGCGTGTCTGCTCCAGCTGGAGGGTTTAGACACTCAAAAGCAGCAACTGTGGTTTGGGGGTTGTTTTTCCCTTTTTGCTTTTTTCCCCTCCTCTTCCTCCTCTGGAGTGCTGTGGGCAGCCGCAGGGCAGTGGGGCAGGGGGGAACGCGTGCAGTGCCCGGGCAGGCACTGCGCTTCCTTCTCGCCCCGATCGTCCAGCGATGTCCTTGGCCAGTGTTTAATGCCAGCTGATAACGTGCCAGCCGCGGTTGCTGAAATTCATAGCGACAGAGGTTTTACTGCTGAAGCAAATTTTTGTATGCATATGGCTTTTTGGAGTTCAAAATGTGTAAAAAGGGAGAAAGCAGCTACCAGCAGATGCTGCTGGAGTTGGTAGCCTATAAAAAGCTTGCAAAACATTCTCAGGTTCTCTATAAATTTTTACAGTAATAACAGATTTTCTTTCTGTCTAAATATAGGTTCTGATAATACAAATAAATGGGACAATCCCAAACCTGAATGGAACAAACATATCATGTGATTACGGGAATAATGTCCATACGGTTGCCAGAGTTGCAGGAGATTATCTAAACCAGTTCATTTATTGCAACTTACTTCCACGAGAAAAATATCCAACATTTCCCGACAACCAAGGTATGTAGAAGAAAAAAAACCTACTAACCACTTTTTGGAAAATAGTTTTTCTTTTTCTTTATTTTATTTTATTTTATTTTTTTAGTTGTATGTTCAAATAATACATATGGCAGCAGGGAAGTCATTTCTATTTTACAGTCTATGTCAGTTTAGAGGGTGGGAATCCCACCATCTTAACCTGAATTGACAATATTTTCAAATCAATTTCGGTTTCAAATAGTGGAATTCAGAAGCCGGTTCATGTACTTGTTAAGATTTATCTTTTGTTGTCTGGTTAAAAGCTTCCTCTTTAAATTCAGTAAATACCAAAATAAATAAATTTTCACCTGGTGGAAATAACATTGCCATTTTCAGGTGTTCCCATTTAACTTCTTTCCTAAATACGCACTACCATTGAGGAGAAGTCCTGGGAGAAAAACAAACAGGTAGCTAGGGTCAGCTGAGGAGCTGCAGCCCCGTGTACGTAATCCAAAGCCAGGCTGCGACCCGAGCGTTGGCCCCGGTGTCAGCGACTGCCGGGACCGATGGCCCCTCGCGGGGTCCTGTCCTGCACACAGGGAGCTCCTGCAGTTCTGTGGGAAGCCCCTGCTCCCTCAGCATGGAGCTGCTGGGACTGACTGGCCGCATGGGAGCCGAGCGGCCCAGCCTGGTACCTCCTCCTGCAAGTTTGGGGCCGCATTCCAGACTCGAGCGCCTGCCACATGCGTCTTTCAAGACTGGAGTGAATGCATTATTGAGGAGGGTTGACTTCAGTAGGAGAGGAATTAGCCAGTCGTTTTGAAAATCCCACTTTTTATAGGCGAGTTTGTAAAGCTGCATTGTTTTTCTCCCCAGCTATCCAAAGAATGGAAGATCATTAACTGTTTTGTATTGTTTGTTACAGCAATGTCCAAATGAATTTCTGGAATCCAATGTGCTGATTTATTGTACATCCCCTGAAAGAGTCATTGTCTCTTGTCCCTGATTCTTTTATGGCAAAATTGCAAAAAGAAAAAAAAAATGAAGCAACTGGGGGGAGGAGGGCCAGTATGGCAATGTGAAGTGGTCAAAAAAGGCATTTCCACCGTTCTCTGCAAGTTTGTTGTCATGGGGAAAATGAGTGGGGTTTTAAAACATGTTAACTAACTTGTTTTAAATTACCATTTTCCTTTTTTTTTTTTTTTTTTTTTTTTTTGCGGAGGGAGGAGGGAGTGAATATCATTTAGTACCTACTGTAAGCTCAGACAAAAATTAATTCTGCTAATTAACACTTGCACAACACTTCGGAATTTCTGCTGCAAGTCACACTGTTCTTTTCTGGTGAGGACGATGCAAAATGTTGATTTAAGAGTGAAGGGTTTCAAGTCAGGGAGCAGGAGATGGATGGTCTGAGCTCTGAAATGCAACTCGGAGGAAGCCCTAGAGAAAACAAATCATATTTAGATGTTGTTTTCCCAAGAGTCTGTCCTGTCTTCTAAGGCTGGGCACAGATGAGAAACACTCTTGCAATCCAGTGTTTTTTGGCTTGATTCTTGCAGACCATGTGATCGTCAAAACTGCTCTCCGGGTCAACAACAAAAATATCATCTGGGCCAATTTCACCATCTACGATTGCAAAAGGACTGGAAACATTTACCCAAAGCGAGCGTAAGTGATCTCGGCTCCCATGCAGTAGAGCCACCAAAGGTGTTTCCTGGCGAGGGGAGCAGAGTAGGTGACGCTGCGGTGCCCGGTCGGGGCGGGTGGTTGTCCCTCCCGCTCCTTCCAGCGGGTGGTTGGAGCCGTTCAGCCCGACGGGGCACGTGCCGGCGAGGGCCTCGCTGCGCAGGGTTAACCGAGCACGCGCAGGCTGCTGCCAGCAGGACGCTGAGGCCTGGGCAGGATTTGGCAGCAAAGTCGTCCTTACACTGCCAGGGATTTGCAAGGAAGGGTCCTAGCGGCGTCTCCAGCCATCTGGACATTTTGGATTTTTTTTCCCCGATGCAAATAATATTTTTATATGAAACTTGCTCTGTTAACCCTTAGGATGCTGAACTAATCTCCCTAATTAATCCCTGTGGGAATCTGCAGGCGGTACCTGGGATGGGGTGTTAGGGAAAATTGCATTTACATTTAAGCTAATGTAGATTATTTATAGCATGTCCATTGCCAGCAGGTTGTAGGCGTATGGAAATATCCTCTGGGGCCCGTGGCCTTGTGGAAGCATGTAGGCTGTGCTGTGCCAAGGGCAGGGAGCGCTTCTGGCTGCAGAAGGGTTAGGCAAGACCCAAATTCATGCCTCCTGGTTGCCAATGGGCCCCATGCATCCACCCAGCACTAGAAAGGGTTTCGTCGTCTGTGGTTGCCCCCGACATACTCCAAGAGCCGTTTCTGGCTGGGCG